CTGAAGTTTGAAGGGACTCGTATAGATCGTGTCCATACTGCCTATAGACAAATTGCGCAACGGGGTCTACTAGTGTGTGCTAAGCTTAAGGATTAATACTCTGAACTACCCGTTAAACAAATCAAGTAATTGGTGTAAATACTGATACAATCAAGCACTTCTATTATATCAGCAGGTGCTAAAAATATCAACAGGTGTAGTCAATTATTTTTTATATTGGTGCAAGTTGTTCAAGGGCGCTTTTTAAATATGGACGCATAAAATGGTTACACCAATTTTTATGGGAAAACTTTTTATTTGACAACAAAGAATGAGAAAACGAGTTTTTTGGGACTCAAACGAAAGTGTTGACAGGAACGAAAAAACTTTTTATGTGAGATTTTCAGGTATTTATGAGACCTACAGAATGATATCATACGTGAAAAGATCCGACTAATAGCAAAAATGTTATGGCCGAAAAACCAGGCAAACTGCAGGTTTCGGCACTTGTTGGTAATGCGACGATAACTTTACGCAACTACTTGAAATTCTTCAAATCCGCAGGATTCATACTTCTGAATAACAACAGCAAAATTGGAGTATAATGGTTAAGTAGTTTTTTGAGAATTTCTAATTGTTTATCCCAAAACGCCTGTTTTCCGGATATCACTACTAATTTATTGAACTATACAGGGTGTCCGCAAAGTTGGGGTTTTCCTTTACACGACGTGTAGATCTTGAAAACATAAGCAATTTTTCTTAGTAGGTACCATATACACCAATGTCTTAAGGGAACCGAGATAAAGGGCTCTGCAACATCAAAAATATCTGAATACCGTCCTGTAGCCGCGACATCCCCGACTGGTACTAGGACACTAGCTCAACCCGACGACAGAACTGGGTCGGGGTCAGTGTGTCAGGTCAGTATGCAACCTTCAACCGCCGGTTACGGTGACGCGTCTAGAGGTAATCGCGTAGACGAGAATCCCTCAACAAGCACTAGAGACGTGGCTAGAGAAGTGCAAGTATCAAAAACTAAAGTGTGGCAAACGCTGCGTGAAGAGGGGCTGTATCCGTTTCACGTCCAACGTGTACAAGCCCTTCAACCTGACGATTTTCCAGCAAGAGTGCGGTTCTGTGAGTGGTTGTTGCATCAACATGACAATAATCCGGACTTTTTGAAGTGCATATTGGTGACAGACGAATCTACGTTCACGCGTAATGGGGTGAATAACTTTCGCAACACTCATGTTTGGTCAGTAGAAAATCCGCACGCTGTCCGTCGGGTACATTTTCAACAAACATTTTCGGTCTATGTTTGGACTGGCATGGTGAACGGTATGCTCATTGGACCATTTATTCTCCCAAATCGATTGGACGGGATGCAATACCTAGACTTTTTACGCAACATTTTGCCTTCCTTGTTTGCCTGCGTCTGCTCGGTAGCGCATCGGCTGATTTCATTTTCTGTTGGAGCGGTATGATTTCGGGCAGAGACGTACTTTTCGTCAACTGGAGAGTGAGTACTTTTTCCTTTATTTTTTTTATTTGGTCGCCCTCGTTTCACCTTTGTTATTTCAAGGGCAGTTGTTTCTGAAAAGGAAAACCCCAACTTTGCGGACACCCTGTATACAGGATTAATTCAAAGAGCATGGCGAAATTTAGACATGGGTATATAAAATTTGCAGTATAGCGAAAATTCATCATATATCTCAAGTGTTACTTCAAAGTATTACAATCGACTAAATTATTACTTAAAAAGCATCACGCGCAATATTTGCGTAAAGGTTTCAAAAAAGTAACCCTAGTAGTTTTTCACATCAATATAAACTCTCGAATCATCTTGGAAGACTCTGTATCAATGGATGAGACATGGAAATCCAGATAGGAAGAAAAATATCAAGCATACTAAAGTAGATACGATTTGAGGAACTTCCACCAAGACTTTTTTAACCTGCCCCCCTCTTGTTTTGAGCTGGGTACGCCCTTGACCTAATTAGCACTGATTACACTGGACAACAAATTTTAGTTTTTTAATTGTATCTTGTGGGAAAAGTGCACTTCTTTGTTAATTTTGGGGCGCTGAATCCAAAAATGACAATGAAATAAAAAAATTAGTTGCGGTTTAGAAAAAAAACTTTTATTTTTAAGGATATATTAAAAAAAGTAACAAGATTCATATACTTATAAGAATCACTATATGCGCTGTCTTTTTGCTGTTCTTTTATGGATCGTTTCTGGAGCATCTCTACCAAGAGTCCAACAGTAGTCTGCAAGCATGGAAGGATTCCACTTTCCCTGGTACCTTTTTCCATTGATGAAATATCCTGATGAAAACGTTCGCCGTGCTCATCTCTTACGGCTCCGCAATTTTCAGGAAAAAAGTCCAGGTGTGAGTGTAGGAAATGTATCTTAAGAGACATATTACAGCCCATCTTTTGATACGATGACAGCATATTCTTGACAAGGGTTTTATAGTTGTCAGCTTTTCTATTTCCCAAGAAATTAGTGACCACCAGACGGAAATCATTCCAAGCAGTTTTTTCAATACCTGTTAAAGTGTTTTCAAACTGTGTATCTTTCAAAATATTTCGAATCTGTGGCCCAACAAAAATACCTTCTTTAACCTTTGCCTCACTTAGTCTTGGAAATTTCTGACGCAGGTATTGAAAAGCTGACCCATCTCTATCTAATGCCTTGACAAAGTTTTTCATTAGGCCCAACTTGATATGCAGTGGTGGTAATAAATTTTTTTCGAATCTACTAATGGCATATGCTGTACATTTTTTTGACCTGGCTCTAGGAATTGATGAACAGGCCAGTTTTGTCTGGTGTAATGAAGTGCCTTTGCCCGACTGTCCCATTCACACAAAAAACAGCAAAACTTTGTGTAGGCTAGCTACAGCCCAAGTAAAAGTGCAACAACTTTCAAATCGCCACAAATATGCCATTGGTGCTCATCGTATTTTATGCATGTCAATAGGTACTTTATATTGTCATATGATTCTTTCATGTGAACTGCATACCCTACAGGAAGAGATGGTAAAATATTTCCAATATGCAATAACACTGCCTTTAAACTCAATGTTGATCTGTCTATAAACAATCTCCATTCTTCTGGGTTATAGTTTATATTTAAAGCCGCCAGTAAGCCGTTAATGTTACTGCAGAAAACCAAGTTATTCTCCATATTGAAAAATGGTTCTAAGTCTTTGTGGCGTTTACGATAAACACATACCGAAACATCGTCTTCTAACAAGTTCCACTGCTGCAGTCTTGATCCAAGTAACTCTGCCTTACATTTTGGAAGTTCTAAATCTCTTACAAGATCATTTAATTCTGACTGTATTATTTTGTGCGGTTGGTGGCATGACGTGCTCGGTATAAAATCAGGATCTCTTGACATTGATGGCATATCTTCTTCCTGACGAATCACTCGATCGCGATGATCTGATTCGTTTTCTGATTCGCAAGTGTAGGATTCTGGGGGTTTTGGAATAGGATTTTCGTCACTGTGAGGCACAGGTCTCATCGCAGATGGTATGTTTGGGTAGTTAATAACCGATTTTTTTTTCTTGGACATACCTGTGGCTTGTCCAACACTAGGTACCATGCAAAAGTAACAATCATTAATATGATTTGTAGGCTCTCTCCAAACCATTGGGACAACAAAGCGCATAGACCGTTTTTTGCCATTTAACCAGCTCCTCAGACTTGAAGCACATGTATTACAGCAGATGTGGGGTGCCCACTGTTTGTTTTGATCACCTAGTTTACAGCCGAAATAAAGCTGATATGCCTTTGTTATTAGTGGAGTAATAGACCGTCTCTGAGACGCAAAGTCACATCACCACACAGGTAACAAAACTGATCTGGATTGTTTACACACTTTCGAGACATCTTGCATGACCGCTGTCAGCCAACTGAGGAAAAAATGGCTAATATAAAACAATATAATGTACACGTATGTATAACGTAACACAATCATGCCGATTACATCATCTTTCCTCGCCGAATATAAAAATGTAGCACGTGCATTCTTGTGAATTACAGTATATTAACACTGTCACAGCAGGAACACATATAATTACCGTATCTCTAAAACTTGAACTAATATTGAAAAAATAAGTTTCATTCCGGTTTTAGCACATTAAAATAGTAATATTTTGTTGATTTTATTTAGGATATTTGTTGGTTGTTGATCAGTGTAATTTTACGCAAGTACTTGAAATTCTTCAAATCCGCAGGATTCATACTTCTGAATAACAACAGCTAAATTGGAGTATAATGGTTAAGTAGTTTTTTGACCTGTTTTCCGGATATCACTACTAATTTATTGAGCTATATACAGGATTAATTCAAAGAGCATGGCGAAATTTAGACCTGGGTATATAAAATTTGCAGTATAGCAAAAATTCATCATATATCTCAAGTGTTACTTCAAAGTATTACAAACGACTAAATTATTACTTAAAAAAGCATCACGCGCAATATTTGCGTAAAGGTTTCAAAAAAGTAACCCTAGTAGTTTTCCACATCAATATAAACATGGAAATCTAGATAGGAAGAAAAATATCAAGCATAGTAAGGTAAATACGATTTGAGGAACTTCCAACAAGACTCTTTTTAAGCTTGCCCTCTCTTCTGTTTTGAGCTGGGTACGCCCTTGACCTGATTACCACTGATTATCATCTTTCACCTAAAGATACCTAATGAAAACATACATCTATGAGACAGTGGCAGACCCAAACACTCTAACTTTAAAACTATCTTTCAGATCCCTTTTTAGACGGCGAAATACACAGTTGTAAGGCTTTAAAAAATCGTCTGGAACCACCCTCCGAGGATAGTACCAAAAAAAAACTGACATATTAAATCCTATTTGTATAGAGGGTGATAAGTCTAGTTCCCTTTCATGAATCAGACCAACTGGGCTTTTTGCTATTTCGATTGGGAATAGTAACACTAAACGCATTAACAATGAAAGATGTGAAAAAATATAGAGATTTCATCTTTGTTAGGATATTCTAGCGATAGCAAAACAAATATTCTCACCTGCTGAAATAGAATAATGCAACTATACCGAATTAGACAAAAGACTACTGGGTGGGTACATTAAATTGAAAGTGCTGATAGATTGATAAGATTAGATATTGCATAAAACTTTTATTAGATACTAGAAACTAATCCTGCATTCAATACACTATATCTAATCAATATGCTAAAAACAACCCAGTAATAATGAATTTATTACAAACATTTTCTAGGTATATGTACGATCGGTACTTTCTAAATTATAGATGGGGAAGGATTAACGGACAGACAGACAAACCGACCGACAAAATGAGTGACATACATATACATCATTTTCGAATTTTTTCGCGATTACAATTCGTCCTCAACCAGTAGGCGTGGAAAGTAAAAAGCGTAAAAATGCCACATACATGGTATTAAAAACGTGAGTCAATATGTCACGATTGGGAGTGGGGGTCTGAGCAGACTCTCGCTAGTGCGTTGCAAGCGCGAATCCAGGGGGATCATGAACCTCCCCCTGGCGAATCTAGTTTGACCACTGATATATTGATGACTTTCGAATCTCTTTAATAAATTCAATAAAATTACTTTTTGCAAATATGTAATGGATACACACCGGTAAAATATTACTATATTTGGTGAAAAATCACCACACCTGGCAACCCAATTTGTAAGCGCATCGATGATGGCCTGGAGATAAGAGGGTTGCGTACGTCTGGTTGCCTATATGTTCAGCTTGGCGCAAATATACTAAGTGACATATAAATCCGAACACCCAGTTTAAATGGTTTTATTTTAATAAAATTTTGTATAAGTACTTAATGAAGCATAATAAGTAAATGATAAAAATTTCAAACTGATTGCACTGCTTTAAAGCCCTTTGACCTTTAATAATGTTGGATGCACCCTGATGTGCTAAGCATTCTCCAACGCGCCTAGGGCATGCTTCTGATCAGGTGGTCAATGTCCTACTGTGGTATCTCATTCCAGGCAACCACCAACTCCTCTCGTAGTGCTTCTAGAGTCTGAGGAGGACGTTGCAAATTGAGCAATCTCCTACCCATCATATCCCACACGTGCTCAATTGGGGATAAAGTCGGGGAGATCTTGGTGGCCATGGTAACAATGTGACATCATTATGTTGAAAGAAGTCTAATTGTGACTCTTGCAACATGTGGTCGGGCATTATCTTGTTGGAAAGTTGGATCTGCCAGGATGTCAAGATAGGGTAAAAGATGGGGTTCTAGAACTTCGTGGATATAACGCTGCGCGTTCATGTTACCTCTGATGAAGATTAAAGTGACCTGGAACCATGAGCTATAGTACCCCAAACCATAACTCCAACAGTGTGATGAACATGTCTTTCAACAAAAAACTGTGGATTCCTCCTTTCACCACGTCGCCTTCTAACCCTGGCGCGACCATCGATGTATGCCCTAAACAAAATCGAGACTCGTCACTAAAGACACTACTGTTCCATTCCTGATCCCAGAGTGACCGTTTGTCTGCACCACTCAAGGCGATTACGTCGGTGTTCTCGAGTGAAAGGGAGGACCCCGTGAGAAGGTATGAAAACGAGCCAAACTTCTCATTCGTCGGTAAAGACTTCGCATGCCAATAGGTCTTCCGGTGTTCTGCAAACCATTCATTTGCAATGGACCTGGTAGTGGAGAAACGGTCCCTTAAGGCCAATATCTTTAGGCGGCGATCTTCACGGTCTGCTGTTCTACGGCGGCGTCCAGTGCCCCTTGCTCTTTCCGTACGGCCTTCTCGAAGCCAGGCCTGACAACACCTAACCACAGTGTCTACACTTCTTTGCACTCTAACTACAATTGCCCGAAAAGAAAAGTCCAGCTTTCCCGAAGTCCCACTATACGGCCCCTATCAAATCACTAAGTTGACGAAATCATTACAGGTCTCCGTACTCTAGGCATCGTAACCGATCGTAAAGGATGTCAAGAACCAAAATCCGCCAACGTTGATTCTTTACTGCGGTTGAAAATTCATTTTTAGAGCGTTAGTGAATTAAACAAAAGCAGTATAAAAACCGGATGTCCAACTGATAAGGCTGAAAATTTTTTCACAAAACTTTTATTAAAATAAAACCATTTAAACTGGGTGTTCGGATTTATATGTCACTTAGTATATAAATAAAATAGTGAATAACTTGGTAGCACTGTATGTCCGTTAGTGCGTTATTGGAAATGGCGCCTCATATTTTCTGTGATTAAGGTAGTTAATAAAATTGGGACATTCGGACATGAATATAGGAAAAAAAAACCTTTTTTAAGGACATGGTAAGTAGTAAGCATCATAGTTACCTCTAACCGTAAGAGTGTTCACTTTTTGATTGTAAATTAGGATCATGGTATATGTAGTCTTCTTTTGGGTGTGTTTTCCTATGATGGATGATTCTTTTGAAACTACTGTATTTGATCTTCTCGATTGCCCAGAGAAACAGCTCCTGAAGGGAGAAAGTCGTTGGAAATACGTTTTTCTTAAATAATTTTGATATATCGTCGCTTAAGTTCTAAAATCGCGAACTCAAAAATGGCGCCATCAAGATGTGCGTGTCATTCTATAGGGAAAACCAAAGATCTTCCGTTTTGAGTTACTCTGTGTTAAAATTTAGACGATCTAATACAACGAAAATTATTAAGTCATTTAGTTCGCCAGAGACAGACTAGCCGTAAACGAAATATGGGGTTGTCCAAAACGGAAAGTAAACGCATATTAAACAAGAAAGATTGATATTCAAATCAAGTTGGGTACTTTATTTGAAGTTCATTTATACACTTATGTATGAAAAATAATATCGCTCAAATGTTCACCACGACTGGATTTACAGACGTCCACGCGATGCTCGAATTTTCAATGACATTTTGCAACATGGTCGGTTCTATGGCATTATCTCGGCAATGATGTTGTTTTTGAGTTCTTGGAGGGTGGCTGGTTTGTTGACGTAGACTTTACTTTCAAATATCCCCATCAAAAGAAGTCCAAGGGAGTCAAATCGCACGATCTTGATGGCCATGGCACATTTCCTCTGCGCGAAATCACGCGATCAAGAAGAAGGACTGCAATCTATGGATATTGAC